TTCATTTGAATCTGCTACTTTTTAAAAAACTACTAAATTCTGTCACCCAGTGGGTGGTCTGATTTTAAAATTTCAGACCTCTCTGAGAAAAATTCCCTCTTAGAATACGAGGTGCCACGCCCTCCTTGATTTGGGAAAAAGAAGTACTTGGCACGTGGGCTGAGGGGATCAGTCAGTCCGTGATCTCGAAAGCCTCTGGTCTCTGAAAAGTTATCACTTTGATCCGAGGCCTGTCTGTCAGCTAGTGGGCAGGACAGAAGCTGTGCGATGGCATCCATCTTTCCCCCCATTCATTATCCAGTTATTTTTTTCTTCACTCCCTGCATCCCCACCACCATCACATGCCAGCACACACATGCATGCATGACAGGTAACCTGCTCCAGCTGTGCCTGCACATTCAGCATGCTGTCATCGGCAGCTTTCTCATGAGACCATGCAGGGCCATGGCCTGAGTTAGGACATCTCCGAGAAGTGGCTGGGAGGGGCGGGGCAAAGGAGATGCGGGTCGGGACCAAGTGACTGACACGTGTTTGTTATCTGTTTCTTTTAGAATATTTTACCCCTAGATGATGGCTACGGTTTCTCTTCTTCCCCTTCCCCCGACTGTCCTACATTTCCAATTTTTTTAAAAAAACCAGCCCTGGCCAGTGTGGCTCAGTTGGTTGGAGTGTCCACCTACGCACAGAAAGGTCTTGAGTTCAATTTCTGGTCAGGACACATACCCAGTTATGGGTTTCATCCCTGGCTGGGGAAGGTATGATAGTGGGGGGAGGGGGGACTACACCTAACTCTAAAGATAACTGAGGGGAGAAAAAAAAAAACACAAAAAAATTGAAAAATACAAAATCACAAAAAAATTGAAAAATACCAAAAATCACAAAAACAAAAATGGAATGAAATTCTTAATTGTTCAAAATGTAGTGTGACGTCCAAAGTAGACATTTACTTCTTAATTGTTCAAGATGTAGTGTGACATCAAAGTAGACATTCATTCCTGAATTGTTCAAAATGTAGTGTGACATCAAAGTAGACATTGACTCCTTAATTGTTAAAAATGTGGTGTGACATCCAAATAGGCATCTATGTAACAAGTGACTGCTGTCGGTTTACTGTACCAAAAGTTGGCATTTGAGAAGTAGTGACAAGTCCTTACTGAACAACTGTGTGCTAGATGCTGGCCTAACCCTGCCCTCTAACCCTTGCCTGCTCTTCTCTGTGACTGTTCTGCAGTAAATACAATATTAACATAAGTGATAAATAAAACTTCTCTGCATGTCTCCGCAGTCCCTGTCTGTCTTCTGTCTCTCTTCTTTTGTCTATCTGTCCCCATAAAAGCACAAAGATGGAGAACCCCCACCACTGAGGCCCGGGGAGGAGGGGGGGGGCCCTTAGGACCTGAGCCAAGCCCTCTGCTCCTCCATGGGGGCGGGGAGCGACCATGCCCCCCGTCCTTCAGCCCCAGAGTTTGAGTGTCACCTGGAAAGGAGCCACCTGAGGGTTTTACTCCTAGTCTTGCCATCGAGCTCAGCTCATTAAGCGATAGTGAGGGTGTCGGCAGAGCCTGCCAGCCCCCAGTGTAATAGCTCCGTCTACATAGTAATTGCTCGGATGGCAGCCTTTGATGTTGGAGCGTTACGCACCCGAATTAGGTTTCGGATTCCTATTTTAGCGGCCTTATACTGATACACTCCCACATCCACTCACATTCGCAGAAGGCTGAACACGTTCTCAAAATATCCGTATTTTCAGGCGGGAACTTTCCCAATTATCATACCACTCCTTAACCGGAAATGGAGCTGAGTGAGCCTGGGCCTGGAGACAGTGTTCTCCGGCTCTGGGCGTCCCGCCTTGGTCCCCAACAGCTCGTTTTAATTACTGTGACACCAAAGGAGGGGGTCCTGGCTCTCGTTGCCATGGAGATGGGGCCTGTTTCTAATGGACAGAAGTGAATTTGTCCTGTGGGGTCTTAGGTGAGCTCGAACCCCTAAATAAGCCGGGGGGCAGGGGTGTCAAACACGTCCTGTTAAAGCGCCGACGTCTGCATACCGTACCCCGAGTCTGGACGTCCTGGTTGCAGGAAGGAGCTTCAAGTTGCACAAACACACACAGAGGGTTCAGTACTCCCAGTCCCCTCCCTGCAGGGTGGGCCAGCGGCCCGGGCCCCCGTCCCCGCGTCTCGGCCCCCAGAGTGCAGCTCAGGCTCACGGCCCCGCCCCCCAGGCCGCTGCCGCGCGCAGCCCCTCCCTGCGAGGAGCAGGGTCTCCAAGGCCAACTGAACAGGAAGGGGGTGACTCTGGGGAGGAGGCACCATGAGCTCATTCAAGATGAGAGCCCACCCCTCACATGCAAATGACCAGGGAATACGGCAAGGCAGACAAGACCGTGTTCTTGGGGGCAGATGAGCACACGGCCCCCTCAGCTCCCTGCCCCAGGCCCCTCCCTCCCACACTAACTGGCGGACTGGCTGCTATTAACCCCTTTGCGTTTCCTCTATTCGTGTTCTGTCCTCTCCTCCTGCGGGTCACCACCTCCATCCCCTGACTCTGGGCGAGGCAACCAGGTGAAGGCTTCAAAGACAGGAGATCTCAAGAGATTCTTTTAAAAGTTACAGCAGGAGAAATAAGCTCTCTCCCTTCTGCGGGACTCAGACTACCTCTCGGCCTCAGTTTCCTCCTCAGTCATGTCCCTGGGTCTAAGACCTGCCCCCCAAGCCCAGAGGTAGGGTTGGGGCAATGGACCTGGCACGATTTATGCCCCAAGCCAGGGGCCCTTTCCCCTAAAAGCACGCGGGTCCAGCCTCCAGTGAAGGGCAGTTTTGGAAAGATAGCATTTTAATTGACTTAATGGGGTGCAGGCTCTGCAGGGGGGTTGGAGGAGGGTACCCAGAAGCCCAAGGGCGTGGCCTTTACCAGCAAGGGAGGACGGGATCATTCCACACATTGATTTCCCTCCCGGGGCTTTGCCCCGCCCTGCAGTGTGCTTCGCCCCTCCCCGTGGGGTACACACAGCTCCAGGTGACAGGCTCCCCTGTGGCAGAGCCACACCTGTGTCCTGAGGAGCACATCTCCGTGATTCTTGGGGAAGAGTTAATTCCATAAGACCATTATGTAGATCCCAATTAAAATCAAGAGTGTAAAGCAACAAGGCTTCTAACTTATGTCCCGCCCCCCAATGCAAAAGTCCCGGGTCATAAAAGACTTCTGGGGCAGTCTCCATCCTGTCCGCATCAGAGGCTCAGCACTAGCAACCAATCATTGCTGTTGGCTGCAGTGACAGACACAATGACTATTTAAATAAGTAAACAATCAAGCAAACAAGTCAAGGACCGGGGGCTGCAAAAGCCCTGAGGTGGGAATAACGGGCTACCTCCTTCAGCCACTGCCAGTGGGGAGGAAGCCCCAAGTGGAACCATGAAACTTTCTCCCTGGCCACACAATGCCCCCCTCCCCCCCCCCCCAGCAGAGATGCTAACACAGGCCGTGCTAGTGTGTGGTGGGGGCTTGGAGCAAACAGAACCACATGTGAGGGGAGTAATGGACAGGGTACAACCTCTGGTACAGTAGGCCTTGGTCACTACCTAGATGCCAATTTGCTGATGAAGCCCAATCGGGCATGGCCTCCAGGCAGAGCTGGGAGGTGGCCATTTGAGACCACCTTTATTCGGGACCCTCCACCCACTCCTTCAAGAACAGAATACTATCCTTAGTGGAATGTCTTGACTAAAACGGCCCTGTTAGGCAACATGATGCCATATGATTTTTTTTCCTTTTCAATCCCACTGTAGTGAGAAGGCCACCAAAGTGCAGGACATCAAAAACAACCTGAAGGAGGCCATTGAAGTATGTGCTCGGTTCTTTCTCGTTCTGTTAGCCCCCCTGTCAGACAGAACTGCCCCTGACCGCCTGCTAAATCCCTTGCAGACCATTGTGGCCGCCATGAGCAACCTGGTGCCGCCCGTGGAGCTGGCCAACCCCGAGAACCAGTTCCGCGTGGACTACATTCTGAGTGTGATGAACGTGCCCGACTTTGATTTCCCTCCCGTAAGCCTTGCCCCGCCCCCAGTGCTTCGCGCCTCCCCGAGGGGTACACAGAGCCCAGGGGACACAGGCTCCCCTGCGGCAGAGCCACACCTTGCCCTGCCGAACACATCTCCGTGGTTCTTAGGAAACAGTTAATTCCATAAGGATCCTTAATGTTTAAAAACGAAAAAAACAGTTGCCCTGGCCGGTTTGCTCAGTGGATAGAGCGTCGGCCTGCGGACTGAAAGTCCGGGTTCATTCCAGTCAAGGGCACACATGCCCGGGTTGCAGGCTTGATCCCCTGTAGGGGGCGGGCAGGAGGCAGCCGATCAATGATTTTCTGTCATTATTGATGTTTCTATCTCTCTCCCTTCCTCTCTGAAATCAATAAAAATATATGAAAAAATAAATAAAAACAAAAAAAAAACACTAAGAATCACTAGGGCATGGCTCAAGATGAATGAGCAAAATTCTGTCACCCCTTGTAAATCTTGGCTCTCCCATCCCCACAAGTACCCGCCACACCAACAATCTATGAGAGAAAAAGCCAGGAGTTATGTCACCCTTAATCCCTGTGTGCAGGCTCCGCCTCTGACGGCCTCTCTTGTGCCCCCTGCAGGAATTCTACGAGCACGCCAAGGCTCTGTGGGAGGACGAGGGCGTCCGAGCCTGCTATGAGCGCTCCAACGAGTACCAGCTGATTGACTGTGCCCAGTAGTAAGTGACCTCGCCACATCAGCACGACACGGGCACACACTGAGGAAGTGGTCACAGTCCACACCAAGGCGCTTGTCAATGAGCCCTGCTGGTGGTGGCCGGCCAGCCGCGCCCCCTGCATGCAGAGTGCTTCTCAGTCACTTGCTTTCAAAGCCTTTAATTGCACTTTTTAGTGCAGTGACATTATTTTATATAAATAATTAATGCCTGTTAAAATGATCATTATTAGCAATAAGGCGACATTTATAATTAATTAGCTTAAAGTCATTAATTGGCTTGATCTCCAGGCATTAGGTAGACAGGGCAGCTCTCACACTTTGGATAATGTAAAAATATTTTACTTTATTGCTATAATTTAAAAACATGACAAAATGATGCTGCCACCCACCTTCCACCCTCCCCCCCACTCCCCCTCCTTGGTAGCTGATAATTGCTTTGCTATTGCAAAGGGTTTAATAGACAAGCAAGTTTGTATATTTTCACAACGGACAGAAAAACAGTCCCATCTTGGCCAGTCCCTGCGACCCCCGCCCCTTCTTCAACAAAGCCCCTGATTTTCCCAAAAGTTTGAACTAAAAGCTGGAAGTGCTAATTATAGTAACGAAAAACAAATGGAAATCCTGGAATTGTTTCTGATTGTGCCCTGGATCCAAGTCAGAGGACAGGTACGGCCCGGAGTGCGCCCGCCGAGGCGGGACAGCCGCGTTAATAGCAGTTTAGGCTGCTTTGTTGTGTTTTTTTAATCTCCCACCATCTTACAGTTTTTCCCTTTTTTTCTTTTATTTAATTCTTTATTGTTGAAAGTTTTACATATGTCTCCTTTTTCCCCCATTGACCTCTCCCCGCCCACTCAAAGTTTTTCTTTTTAATGCAACATTAAAGTACTCCTGCAATTTCAGAAGAAAGTGGCAACATCCCCAGTTTATGGAAAGTTTTAAGAAACTCGGGAAAAAGAGGACATAGCTGGTAAAATGTCTTCCCTGGAGGAGGACCCCAAAGCCCTGGTTAGCACTGACCAGTGAGCTTCTGTTCCACGGCCTTCATGTTAATTTAAAGTTGAGGTAGTGGTACCTTGCCCATTTCTTAAGCTGCCTGTTTTTATTTGTTGAGCTGGGGTTTGGCCTGGCCCTGCTCCAGCTGTCTCTCTCACAAGATTTGGTGCTGCTGAGCTATTTATAGAGCTGTGGTTCTGTTGCCATGGCAACACGCTGGAGGCCAGGGCGGCTGGGGAGCTATTTCTGGACTGGTGCTGTAATGTAAGACTGATTGGGCAAGTTAGTGTATCCTTCCAGCCAGACTAACTCTAACCTGGTAAAAAGGAAGGGGGAAACTTGCAGAACTTCTTTAAATAGACTTTCCCCCCTTTGGACTTTCTTTTCTGATTAGCCACTTGCAGCACTTCCAATCACCCCCATCCCACCCCCCCCCCCCCCCAAAAAAAAAATCACAAAGCGCTGGGTTTAACGAAATGTTAATTAAATTAATCCAATCTTTCAAAAGTTATTTTTCCTGTCGGTGTTTCTAGTTGAGCAACACAAAAGCAGTAAGTTCAGCTGGGGAGAGAGTGACCACTAATGGGAGTCCCTGAGACCCCAGCCCCTGCGCCTGCTCCCGGCCCTGTCAGGACCCACAGCCTGGGTGGCCCTGAGGTTTTTTTAAAAACTTCAAATTTCATATCTGGACTGTTCTATTTCATGGACCAAACAGACCGGAAGGAAACTCTGTGTGTGTTTCCTGTTCAGTGTGGTCAGGGCACAAAGGGCCCCTGTGTGTCAACCTCTTTTGTTCTCTTTCATTATCGAGGTTCTTAAAAGGTAGGAGGAAGGGATACCCCTTCTGAGTAACTCAGACATTTCACTTTCATTCGCTTGTGGAGGAAACCCAAAGCGGGAGATGCGAAAGTATACAATTTTCAAATTACCCGCTGATTTAGTCAAAGCCAAACAATTTTACATTTAAAATGTTTTTACTTAGATATTGTCAAAGGCACACAGTCTGCTAGGCCTGAGTTCAGACTGCAGCTGTAGGCCAGGGGTCCTGGGAGCCCAGTCCTGGTTCCCAGGTCTACTGGTCAGAAAATACATTTATCTTCAATTCCGTTTGCTCTAACCGCTCTAAGGTATAAGCTTCAAGCCATCAATGTAACCAATACAAGCAGAATTCCCATTGATTTAACTGCGGGGTGATCATTTCCATTAGCTTGACTTGGTATAGAGGCGGGGATATTGGGCAAATTGGCATCACACTCAACACCCCCCTGTGTCCTCCTTTCCCTCCCAGCTTCCTGGACAAGATTGATGTCATCAAGCAGGACGACTATGTCCCCAGCGATCAGGTACACACGTTCTCAAGCTTTCAAGAGTTTTGCGCTAGATTGGCGATTTTTAACATTTCGGTTGGCTTTGGTGAGACCCATTGACCTTGGTTATGTTTTAGGACCTGCTTCGCTGCCGTGTCCTGACTTCTGGAATCTTTGAGACCAAGTTCCAGGTGGACAAAGTCAACTTCCAGTAAGTGAATGGGTTGTCTTTCTGATGAACGGAGATAATGGTGTCTAGCCCTTTAGAGTCACCAGGGGTCCTTTCTCTTACAGCATGTTTGACGTGGGCGGCCAGCGTGACGAACGCCGCAAATGGATTCAATGCTTCAATGGTAGGGAAGCTTCTCCCCTGCCCCTCCCCTGTCTGAGGGCTTTCTGCTTTGGTCACTGTGAAGGTCGGTTTGCTTCTGACATGTTGCCTTGCTTTCTCGCGCTGAAGACGTGACTGCCATCATCTTCGTGGTGGCCAGCAGCAGCTACAACATGGTCATTCGGGAGGACAACCAGACCAACCGCCTGCAGGAGGCGCTGAACCTCTTCAAGAGCATCTGGAACAACAGGTGGGTGGAGCAACCCTCAGGTCCCCTCCCGGCCACGTGCCCCGGAGGCCTGGACTGATGTCCAGCCCTGGCGTTAGAGCAGAATCTTGTCCAAGTCCTTGGGAAAGCATCTCAAGCCCCTGAAGGAGATGCTCTTCTCCTGGGCTTAACCCTGCCTCCCTCTTGTCAGATGGCTGCGCACCATCTCTGTGATCCTGTTCCTCAACAAGCAAGACCTGCTCGCGGAGAAAGTCCTTGCTGGGAAATCGAAGATTGAGGACTACTTTCCAGAATTTGCTCGCTACACTACTCCTGAGGATGGTGCGTGACCCTCGGCAGTTCGCTGGCATATTCGTTTCTATATACAATCATGTATGTGCTAACAAAATACTTATATTCTTCCTAGCGACTCCCGAGCCTGGCGAGGACCCACGCGTGACCCGGGCCAAGTACTTCATCCGCGATGAATTTCTGGTGAGTAGACTGTCTTTACTCCTCTCTCTGATTGCTTTTATTCTTAGGGATGGAAATTAACTGAATTCTACACGTGGGGATTAAACTATCCAGTACTTCCGTTTCATTTCATGGGTTGCCCTGTGAATTTTAGCTTTTGTGCCCCTTGACTTGGTTTTGTTTTAATTAATGTTAGTAGCTGGTCAAGGATCCTTGGGGGAGTTGGGGGGGGGAGGGTGAGTTTGTGCAGAGGGGGTGCTAACCGAGTGTCCCTGTCTGTGCCACAGAGAATCAGCACTGCCAGTGGAGATGGGCGCCACTACTGCTACCCCCACTTCACCTGCGCTGTGGACACCGAGAACATCCGCCGTGTGTTCAACGACTGCCGCGACATCATCCAGCGCATGCACCTCCGTCAGTATGAGCTGCTCTAAGAAGGGAACCCCCAAATTTAATTAAAGCCTTAAGCACAATTAATTAAAAATGAAATGTAATTGTACACGCAGTTAATCACCCACCATAGGGCATGATTAACAAAGCAACCTTTCCTTTCCCCCTTGAGTGATTTTGCGAAACCCCCTTTTCCCTTTCAGCTTGCTTAAATATTCCAAATTTAGAAAGCTTAAGGCGGCCTTCAGATAAAGAAAAAGAAAAAAAGGCCAAAATGGTTCCCTCTCTCTTTAAGTAACTAAAATTAACAGCAGCAAACAGAAATAAAAGAAATAAATGAATTAAATATTGTCTTGTGCAGCATTAAAAAATCAATAAAAATTTAAAAATAGCAGTTCGGGACTCCTTTGACTTATTTGCGGTTTCGAGCAAACGCCGTTGTTCATAGCGTTGGTGGTGATGAAAAGTTGGGAGGCCCCACATTGAGGTGACAAGGCCCCAAGGTTATAAGTGGGTATAAAATTTTGCCACTTTCTTAACCTAATCTTTGGGTTTCTGAAGGCAATTTGCAGAAAATACAAAACATCCACCCCATCCTCCTCCCAAACCCATACCCTATAAAAACCATTAGGCCCATCAATAATTCTACACTTTGATCTTTGCTGCCCTATCCAAAGGTTCTACTAACTTACACTCCAGTGTATCTGTTGACCCAGAATCTCCCCAAAACAGGTGGTACCAAGAGCTATCAAATAAGTAGATTTGGTATTAAATCAACTAGCTAGCCATTGGGGAAAATTTTAAGCTGGATCTCTACCTCATTCCATACACAAATGAATGAGTTACATGTTTAAATATAAAAAGATACTTTAAAATGGCTATTTTTACAATTAAAATCTTGGTTTCTAGATTATAACTCTAAACATGTCCTAAGATCCAAAAGCCCTAAGTGGGGGAGTGAGAGGGGGAGGGAGGAGCCTACAAAAATTAAAATCACATATAATAAAATATGAATGGGGTGGCGACTGGATAAAAATCTGTAACAAAGGGTTAATTTCCCTAATAAGCAAAAAGCTCTTAAGAATTAAGCAAATCCATCACAAAAATGGGCAAAGTATATGAACAAGCAATTTGCTTAAAAAAATATCAATAACATGGGGGTAAATACGGAACCTCAGTCATAAATGAAATGCAAATAAAACCTGCGCCATTGTTGGGAGGGGGTGGTTGTCCACACTCATGGGCCCCCTGAAGCCATGGTGGGTTGGTGCTTGGACCTGGGGTCCACTTGGGTTCCCTAGTACTTCATCCCCAGGATCGTCCCTTAAGCATGTGGTCACCCATTGCGTGACTTCCCAGGTGGTGGGAGCCACAGCATCAAGCATTGCACCTGAAACTGCCTCCAGCGTCAACCACTGCACCCTTTGAGACTGCCCCCAGCATCAACCATCAACTGTTAACACATTTCTGAAACTGGCCTAATGAAACATTAACCAAGTTAATTCTGCAATTCAGGCCAAAAACCCACTTCCTGTTTCCCAAATCAAATTAAACCCAACCAAATTAAATATCAAGCAAAATGAACCCCAAGGAGGGCACAAAAAGTACCAAATATACCATTTCCATAAACCTTCTCAAAGCTTCCTATGAAATATTCAGTCCACATAAAAATTGTGTGCTTGCTGTGTAGACTAAGGTATGAAACAACAAGCCAGACCTGTCCACAAATTCCCATAGTCCCACAAAGCACTCCAAATAAACACAACTAATTAAAACCCGGAGCCAGCTATCAAGTGTAAGCACGAGACCAGCCCACTCCCCAAACACCCACCCAAGGAAAAGGCTGTGCCAACAGAAAACATAGGTTCAACACCAATCCTGTAGCTTCTCTTTCAGGATGGCCACCTGTCTATGTAGAAATTCCAGAACCTTCTCTGAATAGTCTACATAAAATTGCCACAGCACTAGCCACATATCCACCAAAATTGAAAACAAAGTCCCAGGCCACAGAGCAGTTATACCAAGAAAATGATACCCCAAGACCCCCCTCATTGCTAGTCAAAACTGGCAGCAACTTTGTGAGAATTTATAGGAGGGAATAAAAATCACCTACTATGTGCCAATCTGTCCAATGAGATGGACTCAGCAATAACTGCCACTGTACCAATGAGTAAATGGAGGCCTAGAGAGGCCAGAGACAGGGCTAGTAAGTGGGGAAAACGACCTTCAAATTCAGGTAGACAGACAGACTACCTGACTACCACACTGTATAATGTTATTTTAGAATATACAGAAGAAAAGAGGAAAAGGTCTGCTGTTCCTTCCAGGATGCCAGTGGTCAGGAGTCATGACCTGTGACCCCAAGGGGAACTCCTGCAGGGCCCCATGGGTTCCGTATATGGTGGTGGTGATGACCGGGTGGATGGATAGGTGGCAGAGGGGGGTGGGGTCCTCTTCCCTCAGAGAGTGGCCTTGGAGGTACCCCTGTCTGCCCACCAGTTCAGAGTATTGCCATGGGGCCACTCCAGTCACTCAGATGTGTAAGGGTCCCTTCCCTTCCTTATAGTCCATCCCTTCTCTTAAAACATTTTCATTGCCATTATCTTTTGATCTGGTACCAAACCTAACTTTTATAGGTAGGACCACTTTAAAATTTAAACTCTAGGATCTTCAGAAAGTCAAATTATGAAGAATTACACCTAAATTTTTTATTACAAGGAACCACTAGTTTTAAAATTTTGAGTTGAATTTTATATCTCTTTTTAAATGCAAAACACACACACATATATTTTAATTTAATTTAAAAATTTCCATCACCATTTATCCTCTCAACTCTAGAGGCCCAGTGCATGAAATTTGTGCACGGGAGGCGGGTGTACCTCAGCCCAGCCTGCACTCTCTCCAATCTGGGATCCCTCTCGCAATCCAGGACCACTGCCTCCTAACCACTCACCTGCCTGCCTGCCTAATGCCCCCAACGGCCCTCCCCTGCCAGCCTGGTCACCCCCAATGGCCCTCGCCCCCAATTGCCCTTCTGCCAGCCTAATCTCGCCCCTAACTGCTCTCCCCTGCCAGTCTGATCTCGCCCCTAACTGCCTCTGCCTCGGCCTCCACCACCATGGCTTTGTCTGGAAGGAAGTCAGACATTCAGAAGATGGCTGGTTGACCCGGTCTAATTAGCATATCATCCTTTTATTAGTATAAATGCGCTCTTCCACCTCTGCCCTTCCCCCTCTACCCCTATAATCATCACACTGTTGTACATGTCCATGAGTTCACAAAACAACTTATTTTTATAAAAGTAACAATTTGTGCCACAATTAAAGGTGCAGAGGCCAATTATTATAAATATTCATTGATTTTTTTAAATTATTTTTTTACTAGAGGCCCAGTGCACGGATTCATGCACTGGGGGGGGGGGGGCGGCGGTGTGTGGCCTGTGGGGATCCACCATTTGTGGGAATGCCGCTCATCCCCGTCAGCCAAGCTGTGCTCCCACAGCACTGACCACCAGGGGGCAGCTCCTGCGTTGAGAATCTGCTCCCTGGTGGTCAGTGTGCATCACAGCGATTGGTCAACTGGTCGTTCTGGTCATTCTGCCATTTGGTCACTGGGCTTTTATATATATATAGACTAGAGGCCCAGTGCCCAAAATTCATGCATGGGTAGGTCCATAGGCCTGGCCATTGATGAGGGCCAATCAGGGCCTTTTGGCTGCCAGCCGGGGCCTTCCTTCATTCCATGCCTTGTGGTCAGTGCATGTCATAGTCAGTGATCGAACTCCCAATCTCCTGGTTGAACTCCCGAGGGGACACTTTGCATATTAGCCTTTTATTTATATAGATAATTCTTTATTGGAGACAGTATTACATATGTCCCTCTTTTTCCCCCATTGACCCCCTCCAACCCAAACTGCTCCCCCACCCTAGGACCTCACTGCCACATTATCTGTGTCCATGGGCCATGCATATATGCATACAAGGTCCTTGGTTGATTACCTCCCAACCACCAACCCTCCCTCATCTTTTCTCTGAGATTTCACACTATGTTCCATGCTTCCATGTCTCTGGATCCACATCGTTTATCAATTTATTTTGTTATTTAGTTTCCACATATGAGTGAGATCATGGGATACTTGTCTTTCTCTGACTGATTTATTTCACTTATCATGATACTCTCCAGGTCCCTCCATGCTGTCTCAAAGGGTAAGAGATCCTTCTTTTTTTACAGCTGCATAGTATTCCATGCTGTAAATGTACCACAGCTTTTTTATCCACTCATCTACTGATGGGCACTTGGGCTGTTTCCAGATCTTAACTATTGTAAATTGTGCTGCTATGAACATATGTATGCTTACATTCTTTCTGATTGGTGTTTCAGGTTTCTTAGGATATATTCCTAGAAGTGAGATCACTGGGACAAATGGCAGATGCATATTTAATTTTTTGAGGAAACTCCATACTGTTTTCCATAATGGCTGCACCAGTCTGCATTCCCACCAGCAGTGTACTAGGGTTCCCTTTTCTCCACACCCTCTTCAGCTCTTGTCATTTGTTGATTTGTTGATGGTAGCCATTCTGACAGGTGTGAGATGGTACCTCATTGTTGTTTTAATTTGCATCTTGATGATGATGGTCAGGGACAGGGACACTGAGCATTTTTCATATATCTCTTGGCTGTCTGTATGTCCTCTTTCAAGATTCATATATCTCTTGGCCATCTGTATGTCCTCTTTCAACATGTGTCTTTTAGGTCCTTTGCCCTTTTTTTAATTGGATTGCTTATTTTTCTTCTGTTGAGTTTTATGAGTTCCTTATATATTTTGGATATTAACCCTTTATCAAATGTATTATTGCCAAATACGTTCTCCCATGCAGTGAGCTCCCTTTTCTCTATGTTGATGTTTCTTTTGCTGTGCAGAAGCTTTTTATTTTGATGGAGTCCCATTTGTTTATTTTCTCCTTAGTTTCCTTTGCCCTGGGAGATGTATCCGTAAACATATTGCTGTGAGAGATGTCTGAGGTTCTGCTGCCTATGGTTTCTTCTAGCATTTTTAAGGTTTTACAAGTTATACTTAAGTCTTTTATCCATTTTTAGTTTATTCTTGTGTATGGTGTAAGTTGGTAGTTAGTTTCAGTTTTTTTGCATGTATCTATGAAGCACCATTTCCCAACACCATTTATTGAAATGACTTTCTTTTGTTTTGTATCTTATTTTTTTTACATGCAATAAACACTAATATTTCAAGAAAAATGATTTTAAGTATAATAATATTACATGCAATAAACATTAATATTTTAAGAAAAAAGATTTTAAATATAATATTACCAAAA